TTGTATTCAACCATTGGCTTTTAAATAGGCCCAAAAGATAACCCTAACGTAATAAAGTTCAACCACCACCTACAAACTACTAATAAAGGCTATTAAATACAAAAGGAAGAAAATAAGACATTCATACAAACTACTAATAAATGTTATTAAATACAAATTGAAGAAAATATTGGTAGTTCAACTACCAAAGCAAGTCTTCTAATTACTTTCCAATGTTAGCCACTTCATTACCTTCTTGATTTGATATGATAATGCTATAAAAAAATTTGGGCTCAAAAGTCTTTGTTTCAACTTGTACACTAGCTAGCTTTTGAAGATGCAATGTATAGGCCTCTTAAATCTTCTTAACCTTGCTTCTTGTAATCGGTCCTTCGGGTACATCCAAAGGGCCAGTAGTTGAACTCATATCAGTTTTCTCCCATTCAAGGTACTCCTCTGGATCAGTTTTTCCATAAACTTGAAAAGTTTTAATTTGATGCTCCCCCACGTTACGATTAATTCTATCATCATAAGGAATGCGTTGTTGTAAATTATGATACCTTCTTCCATAGTCTCTCCCTCGCATCAAACCACGGCCAACCGCATGTGGATTATCCTCGTGGTGATCAAAATTGTCACCCTCATATTTATCGGTTGAGGGCGCAGGTAGTGGAATCCTCTGTCGAGCTTGATTTTGAATCTCCAATCTTCCTATTCAATCGGTCAACTCTTCTCTTCCTCGAATTAGTCTTTCTATAGTTTGTTGTTGGACTTCTCTTAATCGTGCATCAGTAATGTTAGGATTGTCGTCTGGATTTTCCATCTACAAAAGAAAGTTAATATATATATATATATATATATATATATATATATATATATATATATATATATATATATATGAAATCAACCGAAGGAAAAGTATGAAATGGATTACCTTGATGATCAAGATCAAGAGTAAAAAAAACTCGTTTCGAAACTCGTGATTCGAATCACTCTACAAGAGGTTTGATCACTACCACTTGAATGACTCTAGCATGCAAGTTCTAAACACAAGAATTGGCAAAGAAGATCTTAGCTCTCAACAAAGCTAAAAAAATAGAAATTCTATTCCTTTTTAATTAAAAAATGTGATGTCCCTCATCAAAGAAAAGGAGGCTTTGTATAGCTTTTACAACCTTATCCTACATTACACATAACTCCCAAATTAAAATGACACATACCTCTCAAATTAAATTGGCTAGTAAATGAGAAATACTCATAACCTCCATATTAAAATGGCTAGTTAATGGTGGAATATGGTAACCTATATAGGTTACAATATAACCTTAACTTCTATATTAAAAACAAACAAATATTTAAATTATAATTAAACAGTGCAATGAATGAAATGTGCTTATTTGTCATCCTTGCACTAGTTTCATAAATTTAGCTGAGTTCATTAAAAGCAACTTAAAGTGCATTTAATGCATCTCTTTCTTGAAGCTCAACTTTGCACAACATATAATAGAGGTCTCCAACGTTTTCTAGAATTTCCTTTGATGAGCCCACCGTAGCTTCAATATAAGTGTACAATGTTTGTTGTAGCTTCTTGGCTCTCGTTCTTGTAATTGGACCTTGAGGTATGGAAATTCCTTGGTCGTGGTTCATATCACAATCTCTTGGCTTGAAGATGACAATCTTGCGTCCTTTATTAATTCAGATGGCAACCCTGGAATTTTTCTTCTCAATCTTATTTTTACTTATTTTTATCTTTACAGGTTTTAATTGACCCAAAGTTTAAATCGAAGCTTCGCTCTATTGAAAATTTTGAGAGGTGAGAATGAGAGCTTCATTTGTGTAAATGAGTGCAAACAAAGTGACCTAAAATTCCTTGAGTGTATACACGTGAGAGTGTTGTGAGGTCTTTCGTATTTCCATAACTTATTTTTTGCAACAAAGTTTCAAAAATAGATTCGAGGACGAATCCTTTGGAAGAAGTGGAAAATGATATGAACCAAGAGATATCAATCATACAATATACTTGAATGAAGATGTGAAGAAAATGCTATTGAAATTATCAAAAGATATTTCAATGTATGCCACATTTAAGGAGAATGAAGTTTCAATTGTTATAAATTTTGGGTGGATTACAATTTAGAGTTATTATATTTCATTAATATATTTTAAGACTTTTTATTTAGTTTAGATTACATTTACGTCATGGTTAATTATGGCCATAAAGTTACTACAGCTCTTGGAATGTCTTTAATAGTTTCATTTTGAGGCTATATAAAATCATGTATGTTGTATAAGTAGACTTGAAAAATATAGTAAAAGAAGCATTTGTGTTTTAATATAGTAAAAGAACATTTGTGTTTTCTTTAGCCCATGACTAAGTTTATCTGCAATTCTATGTAGTTTAGGTTGCATGTATAATCATTCAAACTCAATATGATCAACCTTGCTTGTGGATTGATTCGAATCTCAAACAAGTGTTCTTGTGTTGAGATATTCGATCAACAGGATAATCCGAATTTTACCCCTTGTAGTGATTCCATATCACAATTACTTAAAAACTAGGGTTAACTTATCATGAGATAGCATCCTAATTACCTACCAATCAAGGGCTAAGTTTTTTTTAGTAATAGTAGTCTTTTGGTAACTTAAAAACCATAAGCTATTCTAATGCTTATCATGAGATAGCATCCTAATTACCTAAAGTTTAGTTTAGGGTAATCACCTGATTACTTAAAAATCAAGTGCTAACGCTAAGCATAACATAAACTTATAAAACACCCCCGATCATGAAACTTAATAACATTCAAGGCCTTAAAAGGTTAATCGATAGGGACATTCTAGTCCTTTTCCTCTTTAACTTAAATCTTTTTAACTTAGTTTAAGTTTTAAATTTGGACCAAACTTCTAGGGTCAAATTTTATGTCCTTACATTATCTTAAAGAAATATTAGGGGCATTAGGATCATTTACAACCTTATATTTGAACGGTTCAAGGGATTCTTTAAGTATATCTTAAGAAAAACTTAGATGTGTTACTTACCTTGTTATTGACATTTGAGACCTTTGTTATCGAGCTTTTGGTGTAAGAAAATAGATCTACCTTAGAGTCTAGTTATTAGAACTATAAAATATTTTCTGAGAACTAGGAATGAATTTAATTGGACCAAATTAAGGATCACATTTTGGGCTGATATGGCTAGTTTAATTGAACTGGTCACATCATCCGTCTTCTTCCTCAAACAGGGGAAGAAGACGATTCGCGGCAACGCTCCTTTGCTTGAAACTCGATCCTTCCAACCTAATATAGTGGTATGTTGTCCTTGAATCCTTTATGAAACTCAAAGATGGTGAATCAAGGATGAGAATGACTTTGGTTTTATACCTTGGCACGCACGGTAGCTCGAGATATAACCTTCAAAAGTTCACTAGAAATCCATTTTCTAAAACTCAAAAACTTGTTATTGGTTGGGACGATCCAGATCATATCATTCCTCGATTCCTTAATGAAATCGCTTCTTGATCTTCCCCTCAAGCTAAATAAATAGATTTGGAAGAACAACTTTACATGAGGACTACCAATTTTTCGTTTGAAACTCTCGGACCCATACCCTATTGGGCAACTGATGGGGACCTTCTTAGGTCCTGACTTCTTCATGAAGCTCTCCCTCTCATCTCCACAAATATATTGGGATTGGTTTTATCTAATGATGTGGTATGTAGAAGCTTAAATTGAATTACTTCCGATCTTGCTTAAAATGGACTCGCTAATGATTTTTTTGATTACCATCGATCCTAAGCTTTTCACTCTTCTTTGTCATCACAAAAAATACTTCTTATCATCCTAATTGAATTTTTCAAAAAAAAACCTTCCTTCGTCAGCCATGGAACTCAAATTCGAGGAATAAATTTGGGCCACTTTCATCTCAAATCCTTCATGAAACAACACTTGATGAAACTTGGTGTGTAGCTGATTTAGAATGTGTAGTAATTTGTTTGGGGAATAGATAGAAGCTCAATTGTTTGATGAAAGTATCGTGCGAAAACCATCGAGTTTGAAAGTGACTTGAGAAACGAGATGAGAACTAAATATCCAAAGTTTCAAGAACTAAGAAGTTTGAACTTTTGAGGATGAAAGTTAGTAGAGGGGCCATCATTTGTAATATCTTGATTTTTTAAAATAAAGAATTAAAAGAAAATAGTAATAAAAAAAAAATACATGGAAAAGTCGCCGACCGTACACTATGCACGACGATAATGGCAGAGAAGAGAAAACGTGGGAAAAGCCCAAATCCCAGATTGGTACGCTTGGGAAGGTTTAAATGTATATTTGAAAACATATGGGAAGGGAAGACGCCTGAAGCGATAATCACGACCTAACTCCATTGTTGTCGCAAACCATAAAGCTCAAAATCAGTTGAAGCAGACGATAATCACGACCTAACTCCATTGTTGTCGCAAACCATAAAGCTCAAAATCAGTTGAAGCAGACGATAATCACGACCTAACTCCATTGTTGTCGCAAACCATAAAGCTCAAAATCA